GCGGGTTCCACGGCGGCTGCGGCGTTGGGCGGCTGCCTGGGCGGACTTGGGGGGAAGAAGGTGGTTTGTGTAAAAGGAAATCTTGCCTTACTCGTCTGCTAGAAAACACTTTAAAAACGACACATTGCCGAGTAGCGCGGGAGCGGAGCAAAACGTGCAGAGGGTAGCGTGAGCTTTCCTGGGCACAACCCACTTTTTCAGATCTAGACCTCTTTGAGGGAGTCAACAAACGTGGACGAGGGGGATCCAGTGGACATAGTGTGCTTAGATTTCCAAAAAGTCTTTGACAAGGCCCCTCACCAAAGGCTCTTAAGTAAAGTAAGTTGTCATGGGATAAGACGGAAAGGCAGCATGTCCCAGCCAGAAAGAAAACAAATAACAGGGCCTAGGGCGGAAGATTGTCGGGGGTGCACCTAACGCACCCGGCCTGGGGAAGAGTGAGACACAGTGTCCTGTAAAGATGAGGAAGTAGCTCCACGAATAGCGGGGAAAGGGATGACCAGGGGGTAATGATGTGGGCGGAGAGGGACCTGGCAGCACTTACACAGAGCTCATGCAGCTAGAGTACAGAAGAGAAAAAGCAGGATGCCAGCTTCTGGCTAGTGCTGAACAAAAGTCTAAACATGCTTGTTATGATGCATCCTAGACAACTATCTGGCTCAGGAAAGGTGCAGCTCAACCTCAGTGTGGACTAGGGATGTTAGATGTTTCATTTAATTTAATAATCATGTAACTGTGCTAAATCTTATCAATTATATGATTATTTAATTATCCCTGGGGGCAGGTGAATCTGGCAGCCAGTGCAGTGCGCCCTGTGCCCCCTGCCACTTCACACTGCTGCCTCTGTATTAAATGCAGCAGTGCTGGGCTGCAGCAGGCCCTGTTTATGGTAATCCTGGGCTGGCCGCAGACAGAAGCTGCTCCTCATCCTGCCTGATGCAGCTGCAGTGGGGGGGGGGGGGGGGGCTATCTAACCAAAACAATGCCAGACCATGGATGTCGCCAGACAAGAGAGTGCTGGACCAGAGAGCTTCAACCTGTAGATGCCCTTTTTCCTCCAGATAAGAAATTCAGGTTACTAACATTCCTTTAAAATGGAAAATGCAAGCAGTTAGATAATTTAAGCTATTGATTACTTACTGACTTTGTACCTCCTCTAGGTCTGTAGGTGATGAAATGCTATTCATTCAATAATTTTTAAAAAATTGGTTAATTGTCTTGTGCTGTTTAATGTGTAATTTTTTGGCAATGTTGCATATTAGTTTGAAAATAGCAAATGCTGCTTTATAAATTAATAACCTTGTTACAGATTGCTTCAATTAAGCATATCAGAGTTGAAATACTGTAGCATTGGCACATTTGGGACTATTTTTCTCATAGTGGAAGAAGCATTTTAATGTATCAAACATGCTCTTTCGAAGACTAGCCCCTCTGCACCGTGATGTCAATAACATGCTTGGATCCTGCAGTGGTATTTATTATAGGGTGTTTGACTAGCCATTTTATGCAATAGATATATGATTATAGATTAGACTTGCTCTTGAATAATTAAATCACCATAGCTGCCTATTGTTGGAAACAACACATCTTCATGTAAATGGAATTTTGAAGAAATATATCAAAAGTTGACACTGGAGAGGACTGGGTACTTTATAGCGTTGGTTTTACGTATTTTGTTAAAGATTAAAGTAAAAATAAATCTCAACTGTTTAGCTTTCAATACATTACTTGAAAATTCACATTGCTAAGTGTTGTATGTAGTAAAATGTCTTATAGTGCTTTAAAGATATTAGGGGGCTATCGCTGCTGCTTGCTACACTCAACAATCCCCCTCTCTCTAGCCGCTTTCACAGAAATATGCTGATGACATCATTCTGTCATGCACAGGGCTCGACAAATACACTCACCCGCTCGCCCACGGCGAGTAGATTTTGCCAGCTGGCGAGTGCAGGGGCGGACTGGCCCAGTGGGCCATTGTAACGGGCTGACCGAACCTTGCACTACAAGCGGCACGGCCCCATCCAATCCGCCAGCCGGCGGAGGAGCAGAGCGTTGCTGGGGAGGGGAAACTGCGGCGTTTCTCAGCGCCAGGCTGCCTGCGTGCAGCTGCAGCTTGAGGAGGCAGATGCCAGGACGCTGGCATGACGTGGCCCCGCCCATTTTAAAGGGCCGTGGCAGCTCGGCTCTGCCTGTGTTCTCCTGGCTGTGGCGTG